CTCCAACACATATTTCTACACCAAACGTATTTAATACAAGTTCTAAGACCTAAAATTTCATATTTTCACTTATTAAAACCAAATTTCAACTATTATTTTCACTAACATTTTAAATCTCTACTTTTTCAATCTACCAAATTCAAACACACATCACTACATATATCCACATTTTTTTTTATCACAATTATTTACTATATATCTATATACATATATAAAAGAAAATGCGGGGTATTACAAAAACCTAAACACCCAATCATTCGATGTTCACCATTACTTATAGTCATGGAGAGTTTAGTTTTCATGTTGGTTTAAGAAATGCACTGTCTATTTAGGTTTAAAAAGGTTTGCATCATCAGCCCACAGGAAAGTGGACATTAGTATAGACTTGTTAGGTTTTCTTATCATTCTTGTTCATGTATACTTGTAATTTAGCCACATCTAACTTACAGTTATAAATTTATTTATTTTTTGATAGATATGGTGATAAATTATCAGGGGAGGCATTATAGTCGGTTGTTAAGTAAGTGAACCAAATTTCATAAGGATGTGGAAAGTTGTATTTAACCCCTAGGTGATCGACATAAATGAGGAGGATGGTAATCCATCTATTCTTTGTATGAGCACAAGTCAAGAATATACATATTTTATGAAATGCTCACTGTTGTAATCCACTTCTTGTACAGAAACTCAAGGAATTGGGTGTGGATAGGCTAGTTTTGCCTGCTGTGCCAAGTGTGGTAAACACTTGGACCACTTCATTTGGGTTTTCGATGATGACAGACTCCGATAGATTAAACTTTCTAGATTACACTCTCCTGGGTTTCCAGGGTACTATCATGTGTCAGAAACTCTTATCGGAAATCCCTTCCACGGAATTAAGTCCTTCAGAAGGTGATTCATTTCCCTCTTGCTGCATCAAGGAATGACTGCTATTCATTGTACGTTCTGACTTTGCGTATCCTTATTCAGGAACCAAGCAAAAACTTGATGATGCTATCAATGGAAGTGGTCATATTGATTTGTATGGGAACAGTGCTATTTCTGAATTATTTCAAGCTGACGAGATTCAGGAGACTGGAATTGTTTACCAAGGATGTGTGGAGTATGTATCCTCTCTCTTTTCGTCTATCTAGGGGATTTGTAAAAGAAAGAAGATGGCAGCAACTCAAATATTTCATTGGTTACAATAACTAAAACTACTCCCACAAAACGGTAGTCACATATGGTCCCTAGGGAGATAAAATTGATGTTGCATCTCTGCCCTTTGTACATACCATCCATTGTCCCTATTGATTTTTGTGGTTTGGTGAACTTTTCAGATCGATGTGGACAGTTCACAGCCAACGACGTCACGATAAGTTTATTAAACCTGATCATTTAATTGAAGAACCCGTAACAAGATGTCCGTTGTTGAACCTTAGAAAGAATATTGTCGATATTTGCAAAGCTAATCCTGAACATGTCAGGATACCGGGGGGGTTGAGAATAGTTTGACGGCATTGCACCCCGATGCTTCTACTCGCTTTACTAATAGAACTTGTATCCAGGATCCAGCTGGCCTGGCAGAAACTTTGGAGGGAACTAGGTTTTAGATGATTTGATTAGTCTGTTTCCCATATACCCTAGTCAGATGAACGATGTCTCATCTTCTTGTGACTCCACATATCCGTCAAAGAACATTGCCCCTTAGTATCACACACCGAAAACACAGATCATAGAGTTGGGGCAAAAACTGGCCTTTTATTCACGACCGGGCACGGATGGTGCAAAAAAGGAGTTCTCCACAACATGCAATTAAACTACTGTGGAGATAATGACTAGGTAAACTATCGGTACACGCTCTATTGCCATGCAAACAATTATAAATGAATACCTTATGATTAAGCAGGTAACATGGTTTCTATATTTTAATCAAAGCTGCTGGATCATCCACTGACAATGGTGGTTTTTTGCCAGTATTGCTGGTGGCAGTGGCATCGGCAGAAGCAATGACACAGCTTCTCTGGTTAGAGTGGTATCCTCACTCTACTTGGACAAATTTTTATCTGCATTTCATCCTTTTCTGTTATTTATGATTATATTTTTTCAATGAGACTGTATGACCCCTTTCATGTACACAGGTGAACCAACCAATTCATGTTGAATGCATGCCGTGCCAACGTGGAATTAGTGTAGACTGCTCAGTTGAAGCTCGTGATCAGAATGAAGGTGAAAACATTGGTAATGTAACTTTTAAATGCTATAAGCGGCGAAGGATATCTGCTTGTGAGAGTTGATGCCATTCCGTCTCAAATGTTTTCTTAAGTTAAATGACTTAAATGTAATCAAGTTGACACTCAGATGAAAATATTCTTTTGAGCCAGTGTTTTTCTGGGACCTAGGAGCTTAAATTTTACTGAATGAGGTGTAGATTCCGCCTTTGTAAAGGATGTAGGTGGAGGGAGCTGCAAGAATTTGGTCCGAGGCTCATGTTTAATTCATGTACAGTTTGAGGAATAGCTTTAGATGCAGGTTGTCCTCAAGCCTTTTGGGCAAAAAATTAGCGCGGTGTACTTGTCGAATTGGGCCATATTTATGGTGTTTTTGTTTCTTTACGCAAGTTAATGGCAATTATGTATGTCTTTGTATCCGAGGCTACAATGTCTCTTTTTCAGCTGTTAATAATGGCAAGTGAGCCATTTTCCAATGATGTCCTTTCTTNTTAAGCAGGTAACATGGTTTCTATATTTTAATCAAAGCTGCTGGATCATCCACTGACAATGGTGGTTTTTTGCCAGTATTGCTGGTGGCAGTGGCATCGGCAGAAGCAATGACACAGCTTCTCTGGTTAGAGTGGTATCCTCACTCTACTTGGACAAATTTTTATCTGCATTTCATCCTTTTCTGTTATTTATGATTATATTTTTTCAATGAGACTGTATGACCCCTTTCATGTACACAGGTGAACCAACCAATTCATGTTGAATGCATGCCGTGCCAACGTGGAATTAGTGTAGACTGCTCAGTTGAAGCTCGTGATCAGAATGAAGGTGAAAACATTGGTAATGTAACTTTTAAATGCTATAAGCGGCGAAGGATATCTGCTTGTGAGAGTTGATGCCATTCCGTCTCAAATGTTTTCTTAAGTTAAATGACTTAAATGTAATCAAGTTGACACTCAGATGAATTATTCTTTTGAGCCAGTTTTTTTCTGGGACCTAGGAGCTTAAATTTTACTGAATGAGGTGTAGATTCCGCCTTTGTAAAGGATGTAGTTGGAGGGAGCTGCAAGAATTTGGTCCGAGGCTCATGTTTAATTCATGTACAGTTTGAGGAATAGCTTTAGATGCAGGTCGTCCTCAAGCTTTTTGGGCAAAAAATTAGCACGGTGTACTTGTCGAATTGGGCCATATTTATGGTGTTTTTGTTTCTTTACGCAACTTAATGGCAATTATGTATGTCTTTGTATCCGAGGCTACAATGTCTCTTTTTCAGCTGTTAATATTGGCAAGTGAGCCATTTTCCAATGATGTCCTTTCTTCTTCCCCTCCCTCCCTCCCTATACATTCTCATTTCATTTAAAAAAGTTCCTGCTAGACAATGCCAATTATAATAATTTTTTCTACCAGGTATTATGAGGCACTGTTCTGGGTGATACTTGTAAAAAGATCGCGTGTTACTTTCCTTTCCAACAGATTGGATTTGGGCTGCTGCTGATCCAATTCAAATCCTATTGAATAATTCTGATCGAATGAATTTTATTTTTACAGCCTATATTTGAATCTGTTATGGATAACAACATTAACCCACCCATTCATTCTCCAGTGGACCAAATATAGTGTGAAAATCAGTGTAGCTAGAAACATTTGAAATTGATCACGGTCGCTCCCCAGTGGGGAAGTTGGTTACATTATATGTGGATCAAACACCACAAAAACCTGCTACTTGAACAATTCTACTGTATTATTATTCATTCCACTTTTACATGATCCCCTCCTAATAAGTAAGTTCACACAGCAGGGCATCTAAAAACACATACTGCAACTTCTACCATTAAAACTTGTACATCCTCCATAATCGGATTCGGATACTAGCCCCGTATCGTCAGTTCTGGAGAAGTGACTCCCATCATCTGTGGGACATTGCCAATAATCTTTGATGCCAAAGTCCCATTTGCAACTGGAGGTAGCTTCTCCTCATAAGCAGAATTATGAACTCCCAGTGCGGCTCTACCAGAAGGATCAAGGTTCTTCGACCAGGAAGCATCCCACGCAACAGCTGTGGCTGTGCTGCATGCTATGCTAGCACCCCCCGGGACAGTCAGCCCGGCTGAATTCTGCAGAAACCAAACAACAACAATTTTCAGAATCGAGTTAGTTATAGTTATGGTCAATCTTGACATTACTAACACCATACACTGATTTGTAATTGATTCCACCATCGCACCTGTGGGAAGAACCTCTCGAAGATCATTCTGTAGTAGTAAGCCTCCTTTGTGGTTGGGGTGTTGTGTGGGAAGATATGTGCAGCATTAAGCATCATTTTATCAGTCACCTGAAACCATCATCCAATATGTGACATCTTTTTAGACTGTTATGAATGGATGTGTAATTTAAATTACAAGTACTGGTGTCATGAAATTATAAATTTGAACCAAAGAAAAGAACAGAAAAGGCGAGTACATGTTGTTCCGCATGTCCTTTGAGCCCATCAATCCAATTATAACCAACACCATCACTGAATTGCTCTTTCTGCCTGTACAGAATATGCTGCAAGTATCAAACAGAACATCTTAGTCGAAGTTGAAGATGTGATCTAATATACTGAACGAAAAAGTGGTAACGTCTAAATTTAGACCTTTGGCAGATAGGGATGGTCCTCATCATCAAAAGCCCTTCTAAGAATCCACTTCTCAATGTGTCCTTGCTCTGGTTTAATCTGGATATCAAGTTTCAAAAAAAAAAAAAAAGCGTAAATGATCTGTTAAAAATCGAGACACCCTTATAAAAACCAAAACTTATAACCTTACCATCTTCCACTCAGGGTCAATACTCATAGCAGCATTGATAAACTCTTTATCGAGAAATGGGACCCGAGCTTCTAAACCCCAAGCAGATGTAGACTTGTTTGCTCTCAAGCAATCGTATTGGTGCAGGGCCTTTATCTGCAAATAAGAGAGAACAAATCCACCAAATGTTACTCATTCCATTTCGAAGCTCTCAACCTGAAAGCAATAGGATGATGGAGTTTGTTACCTTGCGACATGTTTCACGGTGGAACTCTTCCTTGTTGGGTGCCTTGTGGAAGTATAAGTAACCACCAAAAATCTCATCTGAGCCTTCGCCAGAGATGACCATCTTCACTCCCAGGGATTTAATCTTACGCGACATGAGGAACATAGGCGTGCTTGCTCTGATTGTCGTCACGTCATAAGTTTCAATATGGTAAATAACATCTTCAATTGCATCAATGCCATCCTAATGCATGACAAAAAAAAAATTGTTACCAACAATTTCACAAAATGGAAAAAAAAAAAACAGTGATTAAGAAATGAAGATACAGCCACTTGAACAAGCAGATCATTGAAGTTGTGAAAACCTGAACAGTGAAGTGAAATTCATGGTGAACAGTCCCCAAATATTCAGCAACTTCTTTTCCAGCCTTCAGATCTGGTGAGCCCTACTCAAGAAATGAAGAATGAATTGAAAATTTGGTACAAGGACTAAAAGAGAAGCTCAAGGGATTCTGTAGGTTTTTAATCAGAAGTATATGTATTAACCTCAAGTCCAACACAGAAGGAATGAAGTTGTGCTCCCCATTGCTTGGCAGCCTTTGTCCCTGCCAAGTAGCGAGCAGTGACAGAAGCCACTAGCGATGAATCGAGGCCTCCAGATAGCAGAACTCCGAAAGGTACATCAGTCATTAGCCTTTTAATCACAGCCTGAATATATTTTTACCACAGTTACAATCATATCAAAGAGTATCCTACTTGATTATTTGTGAATAATCATGGATCATCAGAATAGTTCCCATACATCAGGGATTAAAACATATGAATCTTACATTTTCAAAAGCACTTCTCAGAACAAGTGGATCATATGGAGTTGATGGAATAGCCTCGGAGAACCAAGGAGGGTTATACCATCTTCGGAGGCCTCCTGCTTTGCTAGAGTACAAGTGCCCAGGTGGAAAGGTCTCAAAATGCTCACAGTCATCATTCAATCCTTTCAGTTCAGATGAAATCCAAACAGAGCCTGAAGACAAACAAGGGAAGACAAATTATTCAACTATATTCAATTGCATTCCTGTATAGCAGTGGTCACAAAACCAACTTGGGACAAGATTCAATGAGGTAATACCATCAAGTCCCCAGCCAATATAGAGGGAAGTGATCCCAATGGCATCACGGGCAACAATGAAGCTGTTGTCGCGTGTATCCAGCAACACAAAAGAAAACATTCCATCCAACATGCCCACAAAATTCTCCCCATATTCTTCATACTAATCAGAAGAAATTAGAGGTGGCAGTTAGTCTAAAGCAAGAGCTACAAATTCAATCTCAGTCCAAGATTCATTAGAAAGCTTTCGATCCATTATATAATAGGCTTATGAGATTACTCACAAGATGAGCGATAACATCACAATCGCTACCAGTTCGGAACTTGTGATTAGGCAGACCCTTCCGCAGTTCCTCATGATTGTATATCTCTCCATTTACCTAAATTTCAACACAATCTTCTCCATTAGATAATAAAATTTGTGGCAATTTAGCTCAATAATAACAAAAAAAAAACATGCATAATAGCTAAAAATAGATCGATTGCACACCGTTACAACAATCTTCTTGTCTTCATCAAAGAGTGGCTGATCACCAGAAGCAGGGTCAATGATTGCTAGGCGTTGATGCGCCAAATAACAATCACCATGCTGGTATAACCCACTCCAGTCGGGACCCCGATGCTTCAATCTGATTTATCATGTAACAATCACAATCCAATTCCAAACAAACCAGAACAATACTAGGTGAGATCCATATGCTGATTTGGCCTAATATCCTCCATCAACATCTCATTTGTTAAATGAACATAATACAAAGAACAAGACTAGATGAGCTCCGTGTGTTACAAATTACTCGTAAAATGATATCTGAACCGATGGCAGTTCTTAAACTGGCTTGTTTTTCTTTCTAATCAATCAGAATTGTAAAATTATAGTTGTTGGAGCACAGCGAATGTAATAGAATTTATCATTCCAAAAAGACTATTATATTATTATGGCCCAAAACCATAACTTATTCTTCCAAAATTCTCTTATCTCCATTTTATAATAGAATGAACAGGGTCAAAGCCCATACCCCATGTGCTACAAATTAATTGTCCCATGAAGTTGATACATGATCTGATGGCAAATTTTAACCAATATCTTTTTCCTGCCTACCCAAAAGAATCTCCAGGATAGTTTTTTTTTTTGTGTGGAATGGGTCCCAGTGATTACACCCACTTTACACAGAAAGTGATAGAATTCATCCTTCCAACGATCCCTCTATTAACATTCTGTAGTTTCATCATCGGTGCTTCAAAGAATATATCAACTTAGTTCCCTCAGTTATGAGATGAAGATTTGATAAATTCGACTCAATAAAGCCTTTGTCCCAATTATTTGGGTCGGCTACACGAAATCATGTTTCTTCATGATCAAGGTTTGATGTTTGATTTATATCACGTTCACGGTAGACCAAGATACCCAATACCCTTAATCCCCCCACCACGCCACCCCAGCCCCTACTCCCAAGAAAAAGAAATAATAAAAAAAAAATGACAAAGGGAAAATGTAACAGAGAAAGAATAGAAGGAATGAAAGAGAATTGCCTGCGAGAGAGCTCGAGAACGCGAAACCTTTTGGCCTGAGAATCATCAGAGCAACCCAAAACCGCTAGTATTCCACACATGATCACTGGATTTTTTTTTTTGTGGATAATGGATAAAGAAAGACTGCTTTATCAGAAGAAGATATAGAGATAAAGATAAGGAAAATGAAGGTTCACGAGAGAGAGAGAGAGAGAGAGAGAGAGAGAGAGAGGGAGAGAGAATGTAGGAAGGACAGAGAAAAATGGCAGAGTTGTGGGAGAGAAGCACACGTAGTAGGAGAGCAGAGATAGAGAGAGTTATTGTTATATATCACACCGCGTCCCTCGCCAGCCTATTTATAGCACCTGTGTGCCCAAAGTCGCTGACGATGGATAACTAACCTTTCAAGCGGCGACGTTTCATCGCTTCCATTATTTGTGTCAGCTCTCACTTTTTTTTTTAGGGTGAGAGAGAGAGAGAGAGAGAGAGAGGGGGGGAGAGGGATAGAGAAGGCAAAATTTAAAAAAGGTAAAAAAAATTATTCGATCAAAGATTTGTTGGTATTTCAATTCTCACTAATCTTCAATAAAAAATATATATATATATTTTTTTCTTAATTTTGTTTACATATTACATTATAATTTATATGAACAACTATGTTTAAGTCTTCTACTCATCTAATTTATTAATTTAATTACTTATAACAATTGAATTGATAACTAATCTTAGTATTCTTTAAATCTCGGTATCTATCTAATCATTGGTATAAGTTAACAAATTATATTCAAATAATATTAATTGAAATGAGACTAACAAGGATCTAAAGGGGCTAAGATTGGAATTTTTTTAATATTGATTTCATAAAAAAAGTTTAAGATAAATTACCCATTATGTATTTAATAAAAATCCACAATAGACAAATGAATTTTTAATGATAAATGATGGTCAATAATATATTATTGAGAAAAAATATTAGAGAGTAATTGAATTTAAATTGTTATAATAGGGTGGCATCTTTTATTATTTATTATTTATTTTTTAAAAGAAATGATTACAAATAAAAAGACATGACAGTTGACTTAGAAGATTGATTAAACAATAATCAGTCTATTCAGCCTTCCAAATTTAGTTATCATGTTATTTGGATTTTTTATTTGATTTGTAATTTTGATAAGCGTAACATTAGTGTTAAAATTTAGGGGACAAAACTAGTAATTTATGCCGGGGACCACCACAAAAGTTTCCACGTGTTATCACAATGTTTGTCTGTTGATTTTTCGAAAAATTGACACGATTAAGGTTTATCCATTGAGATTTCAACGTGTTGAGTCAGCACTACTTTAAAAAATACTAGTCAAAATTTAGGACTGCTTTTCTCAACAGTACAAGTGTCGACAACTAGGATAGTTGTTTTGGGGGCGGGGGGTGGGAGAGGGAGGGGGTGGTCCCAAACAAGGCATAGCTTTTATTGGTCGCGCATGACACATATCTTGACACAAGTTTTTCAACGTCTAGCTACTGATATAATAAAATAACTTACGATTCAAATTTTAAAAATAAATAAAATAATTTTTATTTTTTACATCTTAGATCACTTTAAATTTTATTTTAAAGTTAATTTAAAGGTTAATATTAATATTTTAAATTTAATAAAAAAAATAGAATCATAAAAGTGTGTTTAAAGTGACTTTTTAAAAACATTTCTACGAATTATTTTACACAAGTACTTTAAAAAAAAATAGGGTTTGAAACCGCCCTACCATTACCTTTACCACCACTAGCACCGTCGCAGCCACCGCCACCACCACCACCACCATCGTCGTCGTCGCCACCACCATCGTCACCCCCCACCGTCATCACTACTGCCACTGTCACCACCGTCACTGTAATCGTCGCCACCATCGTCGCCGCCATAACCTCCACGGTCCCTGCCACCACTCCCCCACTGCCGCCCATGCCCTCATCGTCGCCATCGCCGCCGCCACCACCATTGTCTTCGCCATCACCACCACCATTATCGTCGCCACCACCGTCGTCGCCACTACCACTGTCGCCATTGCCACTGCCGCCGCCGCCACCACCTCACCCCACCGCCGCCACTATCACGGTTATTGCCACCCACCCCAACCATTACCGTCTCCTACTACCACCATTGTCACCCACCACCTCTCACCTCTACTACAACACCGATACTTAAATTCATTTATTTCTTATCTATGTTTGTAATTTGATTATGAATACAAATATATTTATTATTTACCATTTCTTATTATTCTGTGCCTTCAGACACATGCAATAACTAGTATTACTTTAAAATGTTAAGAAATATGAATTTTTTTTTAATTTCCCTTATTAACCTTGAAAAAATATATAAAGATAATTCTACACATCCTTAATAATCTATAAAGCTATTTATAACATAATAATTTCCATCCTCCATCATCTCCACTAAATTGTTGACTAGAGTTAATAATTCACTCGGTTGAAGAAACTAAAATGATCATACAAAGAAAAACATTTGGTTTTCACTTTTACCTTCAATGTATAATCTTATGTCAATTTCACCTGTCATCCATGAGTATCATAATGGTTTACTAATAACCTTACAAATTATCCAGGTGAATATTAAATTATAGTTAATTTAATATTTACAATTTAAAAGTCTAAAAGACAAACAATGAATACATTATTGATATTTCATAAACTTCGCAGGTTATACTCTATACTACTCTTAAATGTCANACCAAGATACCCAATACCCTTAATCCCCCCACCACGCCACCCCAGCCCCTACTCCCAAGAAAAAGAAATAATAAAAAAAAAATGACAAACGGAAAATGTAACAGAGAAAGAATAGAAGGAATGAAAGAGAATTGCCTGCGAGAGAGCTCGAGAACGCGAAACCTTTTGGCCTGAGAATCATCAGAGCAACCCAAAACCGCTAGTATTCCACACATGATCACTGGATTTTTTTTTTGTGGATAATGAATAAAGAAAGACTGCTTTATCAGAAGAAGATATAGAGATAAAGATAAGGAAAATGAAGGTTCACGAGAGAGAGAGAGAGAATGTGGGAAGGAAAGAGAAAAATGGCAGAGTTGTGGGAGAGAAGCACACGTAGTAGGAGAGCACAGATAGAGAGAGTTATTGTTATGTATCACTCCGCGTCCCTCGCCAGCCTATTTATAGCACCTGTGTGCCCAAAGTTGCTGACGATGGATAACTAACTAACCTTTCAAGCGGCGACGTTTCATCGCTTCCATTATTTGTGTCAGCTCTCACTTTTTTTTTTAGGGTGAGAGAGAGAGAGAGAGAGAGGGAGAGGGATAGAGAAGGCAAAATTTAAAAAAGGAAAAAAAAATTATTGGATCAAAGATTTGTTGGTATTTCAATTCTCACTAATCTTCAATAAAAAATATATATATATTTTTTTCTTAATTTTGTTTACATATTACATTATAATTTATATGAACAACTATGTTTAAGTCTTCTACTCATCTAATTTATTAATTTAATTACTTATAATAATTGAATTGATAACTAATCTTAGTATTCTTTAAATCTCGGTATCTATCTAATCATTGGTATAAGTTAACAAATTATATTCAAATAATATTAATTGAAATGAGACTAACAAGGATCTAAAGGGGCTAAGATTGGAATTTTTTTAATATTGATTTCAAAAAAAAAGTTTAAGATAAATTACCCATTATGTATTTAATAAAAATCCACAATAGACAAATGAATTTTTAATGATACATGATGGTCAATAATATATTATTGAGAAAAAATATTAGAGAGTAATTGAATTTAAATTGTTATAATAGGGTGGCATCTTTTATTATTTATTATTTATTTTTTAAAAGAAATGATTACAAATAAAAAGACATGACAGTTGACTTAGAAGATTGATTAAACAATAATCAGTCTATTCAGCCTTCCAAATTTAGTTATCATGTTATTTGGATTTTTTATTTGATTTGTAATTTTGATAAGCGTAACATTAGTGTTAAAATTTAGGGGACAAAACTAGTAATTTATGCCGGGGACCACCACAAAAGTTTCCACGTGTTATCACAATGTTTGTCTGTTGATTTTTCGAAAAATTGACACGATTAAGGTTTATCCATTGAGATTTCAACGTGTTGAGTCAGCACTACTTTAAAAAATACTAGTCAAAATTTAGGACTGCTTTTCTCAACAGTACAAGTGTCGACAACTAGGATAGTTGTTTTGGGGGCGGGGGGTGGGAGAGGGAGGGGGTGGTCCCAAACAAGGCATAGCTTTTATTGGTCGCGCATGACACATATCTTGACACAAGTTTTTCAACGTCTAGCTACTGATATAATAAAATAACTTACGATTCAAATTTTAAAAATAAATAAAATAATTTTTATTTTTTACATCTTAGATCACTTTAAATTTTATTTTAAAGTTAATTTAAAGGTTAATATTAATATTTTAAATTTAATAAAAAAAATAGAATCATAAAAGTGTGTTTAAAGTGACTTTTTAAAAACATTTCTACGAATTATTTTACACAAGTACTTTAAAAAAAAATAGGGTTTGAAACCGCCCTACCATTACCTTTACCACCACTAGCACCGTCGCAGCCACCGCCACCACCACCACCACCATCGTCGTCGTCGCCACCACCATCGTCACCCCCCACCGTCATCACTACTGCCACTGTCACCACCGTCACTGTAATCGTCGCCACCATCGTCGCCGCCATAACCTCCACGGTCCCTGCCACCACTCCCCCACTGCCGCCCATGCCCTCATCGTCGCCATCGCCGCCGCCACCACCATTGTCTTCGCCATCACCACCACCATTATCGTCGCCACCACCGTCGTCGCCACTACCACTGTCGCCATTGCCACTGCCGCCGCCGCCACCACCTCACCCCACCGCCGCCACTATCACGGTTATTGCCACCCACCCCAACCATTACCGTCTCCTACTACCACCATTGTCACCCACCACCTCTCACCTCTACTACAACACCGATACTTAAATTCATTTATTTCTTATCTATGTTTGTAATTTGATTATGAATACAAATATATTTATTATTTACCATTTCTTATTATTCTGTGCCTTCAGACACATGCAA